ATTTTTTTATCTTATTATTTATATTTGGATAAGAACTTAGTAATTACTCTAAGTTATATTTACCTTCATTTAAAAAAAATTGTCTTTGCCCTGACCTACTATACACTTTGGCTTGACCATAGATCTAATTTGGTGGTGGTTATAAATGGCAGCACCATGATTTCACGTGCGATAGTGGCGTTTCTATAAATTGTAAATTACTGTGGCGCTGTCACCATGATAACACGCGTGTACTATACTTATTTGCATTTTTAGTGATGGAAATCATCGATAATACTAGACGAAGAAGAACTGTATAAAAATACGGATAATAAATATACTAACTACTAATATAAAATACAAATATTTTAGAATCGCATAATAATATTCACAGTTTCATCTACAGGTAAGTAAATATTCATGTAAAATAAAGTCAGGTATTTGAGAAACTTACACTACATTTATATTTGCTTAATTTATACATTTTTACAGGAACATAAAGAATCTTCTAGTATATGGAGTAGAATCATCATGTCAAAAAGTAATGAATCGCCGCCGTTATCGCATTCGACCGAAAAAGAAAATAAAAACAAAAGCAGAGTCAAACAAGTAGTAACTAATCCTAAGTCCAAACAAAAAACCAAATCGTCAAAGAAATCCACAATTAAACGCATTCACGAGTTTACTTACAACTACACAATCAAGCTCGGAACGGAATAAATAAAAATATCACTCAATTGACAGATATGACATTTGACAAAAAACCGCATCTTTTTATGAAGGGCAAGGGCGCCATCTTCTAAAACCATCAAAACCTTGGAATTGCATTTTTATTTTTAGCAAGTTATTTAGTTTGATTTATTTTCTCATTTTATTTTTAACAAAATCCCTGAATTTTCCTCTTTTTTACGGTATACTGTGCATAGATTGGGCCAGAAATGGACAGTCTCCTTTTAAACTTTGAATATCGCATGGTACAGGGTTATTTTGCAATAACCTACAAAATTTGCAGAGAAGGTTCAAAATAAGTAATACAGGCAAATGGTGAAGAAAGATTAATAAAATAAAGTAGAAAATTTTAATATTCTGTCCTTTTTATCTTTTAAATTCAAAATGTGTGTCATTCATAAATATTTAATGCCTACTATTTTACTACGCACGCACACATTTGTAAGATGTCGGTAAATACGTTGTGAATTGAATGGCACACATAGGAGCGCGCGTACGCGTGGCTGTTGCCCATAAATCACATTAATTTGGGATAATTTCAAATAAAGTCGAATCCTTATTTACTCGTATTTACGAAAACTGCAATAACGGTATATAATTATTTATATATTTGTCTTAAGTTTAAAATTTGGCTATTCGTTGAAAAATAACCCTATATAGGGCACAGGATATAAAAGAAATAAAAAGCATTGTTGGTTATCCAAAACATTTATTTCTATATAGCGAAATCTGCAATTAAACACAAAGCAACCATTTGCAATACAATACAGTCCATAACAAAACTAAATATGATATGTGATTAATTAAAGATTGACTTAGCGCGTCTGTACTGTGCGGACATGTGATTAATAATATTTACCAAATTATATAAACAAAACATTAGTATAGCAACAACTTAAATAAAGCTAATTCATAAATATAATTTTGATTTGCTGTCATTACTGCCTATTCGCGGAATATAATATAATATATTAAAAATTTTTCCTAAGCTCTCCACTTACAATGAAATCTAATGTCTAAGGCGAAATTGCATGTTTTAATAACAAAATTTTTATCCCAACTTTTCGTATTGAGCAAATATTTCGCGTTGATAATTCAATATGATAATTCAACATGAACCGCGAATAAGCAATCATAACATTCGATAATAATTTTAACAAAAGTTCTTATTTTGGACAACAGTCTCAAAAATAAGCCATCTTACCATACGCTTGTATATCCAAAAATATATTTTATATACAATATACTTACAAACTAGACTCGTAAACTAAAGTTAGTCTTACAGGCGGTGCTAAGCTCCGTCTTTGGACATTCGTGTCCGAATTGGTAAAGTATGTATATATGGATAAATGTGACACAAAGTCAATTAATTCAATAATTACATAATGGTATTAAATTTGGATGTAATAAACAAAACAGTTTAATGTAAACGAATTTTAAGTCGGATAAAAGCACCAATTTCAAAAACGAGTTTAATTTAAAAAATATAGAATAGAGTTATTTGTATTGAAAAACATATAGCTCCATTCTTTATTTTTTATTTCTGCATTTGGTATGTAATGTAGTGGTGATTCATAAATATTATATTGTGTATTAATTAGCTGCAAAAGTTGCAAATCATTATTTAGTATACGATTTAAAATTTCTGAATTTTTTTAATGTACGTACGAAGCAAAATTCCCGGTAGATAACTAAATTGAAGTATATACCTACTATTTAACGGCATTATTCAGATGCCCAATCCCTAATCCTCATATGGTGTATGTATATTGCACATAATAATATGTAAGCCAACCTTTACACAAATTACAAATAATAATTATGTTTTTTGTATGTTTTGTAAAGCAACAAATATTACTGAATTTCGGTGAAATATGAATGTCACTAAAATGACAAATAAATGCGAATTCCATTTAATAATTTCAGTGTTGCTTTAGCTACCTTTATATTTAGTTCTAAGAAAAAAATGTCTGGGAATAAACGCGTTTATAACTCCTTATGCTTTTACCGATTGTTTCAATCCCAAAAACTTGATACTTCCTTTATCCATATACCGCTTTCGAAAAAACATACCAAGTCCGCATTGTTACTTGGGTATTAATATGTAATATAACCTACAATAGACAAATACGACGAGTTATTATATAAATTATATATTCTATTTACACATAGATCAGTATCACAAACATTCCAATATACTACAATAGACAACATTAAAGGCATTTTAGAGATCAATTTATCGAAATAAATTGCTTCAGATAGTCAAAAGATTCTCCTAAAAAATTAAAACCTGACGTACCTGAAACTATACATTTTTATATTAAACACGCTAGCTGGGCTACATCTTCATGATTATCTAAGTTTATATGAATATAGGTTACAAAAGCAACCCTTTTCCAGCATTAAGCTGTAGTGTACCGGCCTTTAGCAACCTTAGCTTATTATCACAAAGACCTATTATAGTTGGACGCGTTACAACCACTATCATATCCACTTGGTAATATTTTACAATATAGTTCGTATACTCAGGACATTGTTCGAAATTTAAAAAAAAAACGTCAACAGAAATCATTCAAAATCATACAAAACCCTAAAATTATGAGTAGTTTCATTATAAGTAACTCGCAAATGTAAGTTAATTTGCTTTCTTTATTACCATTAACTTTATTTTATTTTATTTTATGTGAACCGTGTCTTTGGAAGACGATAAAATTTTTCTACCGAATTTTTAATTTACCCATTAATTTTTTAATTAAGAACAATCTTTACCCCCAAAATAATGAAAGTATAAAATTATAATTATATTGCACCCGACATTTTAAATTCATTAAATTTCATATACTTAATGCATTTGTACCAAAGTTAATGCAAAATTGTGCTAACGTCATTCATTAATTAATTTAATTTAAACTGCCTTATTAGGCAAGAAACACACATTATATAATGTCTGTTTCAATACAATTTTTCATAATTTTTTTCCAAAACAATGTCTACGTACTCTCTTTTAGAAGTAATTCTATACTAAGATAAAAAAGATATATTAAGTACATTGACGTGGCATAATTTGTTTTCATTGAAATATTTTACATAAAAACTTAAAAAAAAAGGATAATTAAAAATTGGATATTTCTTAGTATTTGTATATTCGTAAAAAAAAAAGGATTGAAACAGATTACATTACATAAGCAGTGTAATTGTCGATACCTTTAGAGGTTCTAAATCACATCATTTTTAAATAATCCTTTTGTAACACCCACACAAGAAATTCTAGCTTTAGACTACAAATAGTCTGTCTTGAAAACGGTTGAGACCTAGTTTATAAGTAATGTTATATACAAATATTACTACAATTTACAACGAAATTAACACTAACTTATACCTGGACCGACATTGCTTTTCATAAGGTCACTATTCATACAATTTATGTTTCTAATACACTTGTCTGGCTGTCATTGAGTTTAATCAGATGATATAATATAATATACGATGGTCTACCGTGCAGTGGCGGTGTAAGAATATCCACCACCCCATATCGCCCTGTGGGTGTCGTAAGAAGCGACAGAGGGAAACAAACCAGGAGATGGGTAGCAGCGTCTTCATAAAATCTATGGGTTAGGCCTAGTTTTTCAGCAGTGGACTTTTGTTAGGCTATAACGATAACACTAGGTGGCTCTTTTTCTGCTCAGTTGTCTGTCTGAATTGGTATCACAGGCTTACCTATTCCTATCATCGAGGAGCAGTCACCCGTTGCTGAATAGTGAGAGATCCAACATAATCACTGGCTGTACGGCATTCCAACTTAGTTCTAGTCTGAGTGATGGCGTGTCGCCTTCTTTGTTTAAAAGTGCTTGCAGGTGTCCATGGATACAGTAGCCACTTTCCAGGTGGGTTGTAAGTTTTGTCTATCTAATGTTACAGTTAAAACGACAGAATAGTTTCAGTTCTTCACAAGCATAACTTATCGGTCTACTTAAAATTGTAATTGTATTTTATTTTTAATCTAATAAGTTCGATATTCCAGATATATTTATATTACTGTTCTAGAACTTTTTATTTTTTATATAACGATAATAATAACACAATATTATTATTGTTATATAACAAATTACCTATTTTTGTTTAAATTTATTAATTATATTAATAAAATGACACCATTATTTTGCGAGTAAAATTTGTTTTTAAAATTCATATTTTTAAAGCACCTACAGCCTACTTATTGTCACTCGCAGTGACATAAAAACAGTTAAGTTGTAACAATTCGCTTTGAGCAGTCTTTCGCACGACATCCAACACTACGCGAGATCCTCACCGCTTAGAAGAAACACCCGGAAGGAAGACTCGTCTACCGCATCGGTGTACATCAACTCCTCCTAAATTGAAATTCATCAAAACTGTATGCAACCAAATTTTTTTATAAAAAAAAAACAGAGACAGTCATAAGGACTGCCGACAGAAATGAAAACTCAGTGATATATGTGTATACATGTTATACTGCGCACAGGCACACAGGCTATACTGCGCGCTGTCGCTAATCCAGCGCAAGCCAGACTAGCGATGCGTATAAACATGCTCGAAGTCATCGGTTCAAAATAAAGAGTCTATTACATGCCACAGTTGGGCACAGAAATGAATGAGAGGAGGCTCTAATTCATTTCTGAGAGTTATGGAGTAACGAGTTCGCCTTGCTACATTGCGAAATTTACATGTGCTCGAATATTTTGTTAGTAGACATGCAGGTTTCTTCACATTGTTTTCCACCGAGCACGCGGTAAATCAACGCTTAAAATTGCAATTAACAATTTTATTGGTCATGTCAACAAGTCATGATCAGTTTAAAAAATAATATAAAACCTTTTTTTTCTATTTTAATTGTTGGCAACAATTCGCCAAAAGGCAAAGAGGACGCCATCTTGTCGATGTCAGTGTGCTTCGTCATGCGATTGAGTGCATGCACTTGTGGAGTGAGTGTTGTTATCCGTTTTTGTTAAATTTGTTGTTATCCGTTTTAATGATGATGACTACTCAGACAATAATGCAGAGATGAGTGTAATTGAAGTGCTTAAAACTTTTTCTACCAGGCTTTTTTCATCTTTGTTTGTAAATGAATATTATTTCAAAAATGCCTGTTTTGCTCACCCTACCTAACTAGTTTGAATTGACAGCGGTTTTGGCGGGAACTTGACCGTCGGCGTATTGTAGCTCCTGTTTTATCGTTTATTTAATGGTTTGAAGTGGATTTTGATACATTACAGTGATACAATTTTGTTTATTAAGTATCTGCGCATGTGAATTAGTGGAAACGACGAAACAAGTGCTCCGATTTTGATATAAACCTCAAGTTATTATGTTCGCTTAGGCACCATATGAACCTGAGATACTGTTATCATCGACTATCCGTTGGGTTTAGCTGCCGTCAAAATCTCCCAAGAACTCATGAATGTGACGCATCAGCATATTGTAAAGAAGATTTCTAAATCCCGAATGAAATGAAGACATGGCTTAAACGACAAACATCCAAGCCAAAAATATTAAAATAATAAAAAATTACAACTATGACGTTACAATATGGCGCCAGGTCAGGCCTATTCTTATTTGAATCGCATAGTATCGCTTATGACTCATTTCTTATTTTAGAGAAGTGAATAAAAAGAAGTCACACGGTGTCAAACTGTCAAATCAGAGCTGTAAAGAGGTTGACTCAAAATCCTAACCAGTGTGCTGTCCAGAAAGTCCCTTGTTTTAATTGCTGAGTGTGCCCGTTGTTATGCTGACGCAGTAGCCCGCTGACAATAACTTAAGGTTCACATCACCATCGGAGCAGAATCTTCGGCTCACCAGATGTCACTAGTTGAGAATGAAGTGAATTTATTTGTTTTGTTTAGTCATTATAATGGAATAATTGCGTTTTAAATAAAAGTTTATGAGTTTCTAAAGTATTATATTAATACACAAAACAATGCCTGCTCTATAATTTTTCGCAAAATTTGCTGCTTAGCCTGTCGTACTTTAAGGTTGGCGTAGGCTTTCGTGAGAAAAGCATCAACATTGCTGGATGTGTGACTTGTGATTTATGAATTGTTACTAATGTACATAACATCCTATTAATATTAATAAAAACATCATATAAGTAACCAAAACTGTATTTCATAGCCACTGTACTCTATATTTACGGGAACCACGCTATAAAGGATCTGTCTAGCTGTAGCACAAATGGGTCTGCTCGAATGGAGAAGAACCCAGCCTGCACAACATCTCTTGGGATGTTTTTTATAGAAAAAGGGAAACATACGAGTGCACACTGCCCACTTGATGGTTGATGTTGTGGTCCATAAACATCTACATTTACCCTCGATTAAGAATGATGCATTGTCACACCTGAGGATTAAGATGGAATTCCTCGTTTCCAGTAAAAAGGGTCTCCGGGCACTCACCATACGAAACACAACAGTACATAGTTTTTGGAATAATTTCTAAGCTTAACCTTACCTGCATGAGGTCGATAGTGGGGTGAGCGTCCAGTAGGTCGAGGTCGTCGCTGAGGGCAGTTGTATCGTTGGAAACCACACCGCCCCCCATACTCCTGAATTACAGACATTCACTTATCTTTATATATAAAAATTACGTGTCACGTTGTTTGTCCGCGATGGACTCCTAAACTACTGAACTGGTTTCAATAAAATTTTGCACATTGTGTATATTTTGGTCCAACTTGAGAGATAGGATAGTTTTTATCCCACTAAATGACTCTCAAAATGTTTTATTGCGAATTTAAGGATTTTTATAAGAAGGGTCGTTGGAAAGGGCAGAACAACGTCTGCCTGGCGAGCTAGTCTTATATATATAAATCAATTCCTGTTCGTTTGTCGAGAACTCGAGAATGGTTGGACCAATATGGCTAATTTTGATCTTGAAAATATTTGTGGAAGTTCAGGGACGGTCTAAACGGGGAGAAGCATAAATAATAATGAATAGAAAATACTAAAAACGACAATTTAGTTTTCCAATACAAAATGTTCCTAGCTGTGAAATGAGGTCCGATCTCTTTGGTCTGTTTTGTTTCAGAAACAAAAAAAGTGTCAGTTAGTTGTTAAAAGAAAGAAAATAAATATTTTAATATATGGGGGTCATTGTAGAAGCGTGCTCGTCGCGACCCCTACCAGCCCTTTTCAGGGCTGCAATTCTACTAGCTGCGCACCCATGCCAACGAGGGTTAGGGCGTCCCCCCAAGGCGACGCACACCAGCTCGTCCCCGTTGGTGTGGAATGCAGCGTGCAAAGCGGCGATGGGGACCGCCACCCGTCACGCGCAGCCCGACACGGCGGAAGGTGGAGGACAGAGTGCAGAGTTGGCACGTGGAATGTTAGAGGAGGCATGAGAGATAAGACGAATGAGTTGATCGAAATAATGAAAGAAAGAGAATTAGATGTCGTGTGTATGTCGGAGACCAAACGGAAGGGCAGTGGTACTGAAGAGCTCCCTGGCGGGGCGTTAGCTCTATGGTCAGGAGTCCCGGAGAGCGAGAACGCCTGCCAGGGAGTGGGGGTGCTGCTGTCTTCTCGGTTGGTCGATGTTATGACTGAATATAAGGTTGTGAACTCAAGACTTCTCTGGGTTCGCTTTAAATTGGGACTGACGAAGTTATTCCTTTTGGCTGTTTATGCGCCGGTAGCTTCGTCGTCCAGGGCTGAGCTGGAGGAGTTTTGGGAGAATGTAAGCGAAGTTCTAGATTTGGCTAGGGGAAACGAAAGAATTGTTGTATGTGGTGATTTGAATGGATGGGTTGGTACCGCTCGACCAGGGTACGAGTCGGTACTTGGCAAGTTTGGCGATAAAAGGGTTAATGATGCTGGCAAGCTTATACTGGCGGTGTGCAAGGAAAAGGGTCTTCTTGTGACAAACACTATGTTTAATCACAAGAAAATCCATATGTATACTAGAGAACGAAAGAATGAGAGAAGTATGATTGATTTGTTCCTGGTGGATGACCGACTGCGAAAACAGGTGATGGATACGCGAGTGTTCAGGGGTGCTGACCTGGGAACGGATCACTATCTAGTGATTACTAGATTTAGGGGTCTGTTCGCGGGTTGGCGCTACCGGACGGCAGTAACAGAACCACAGTCGGTCTGTCGCATCCGAAGCTGGAAGCTTCAGGAAGCGGATACTAGGGACAAATATCATGCGAGGGTAGCCGAAAAGCTTGACACCATCGATGGCAGAAAAGAATGTGTAGAAAGAACTTGGCAGAACCTTAGGGATGGAATGGTAAGTGCAGCGGAAGAAGTGTGTGGAACAATAAAAAGAGGCAGTAGTAAAAGAAGAGATGCATGGTGGAATGATGAAGTGAAAGAAGCTGTAAAAAAGAAGAAGAAAGCATGGTTAGACTAATTGGCCTCTAGTAATGATAAGGATATGAGAGAGAAGATGAAAGAAAGATATAGGCTGCAGAAAGTTCACACGAAAGCATTGATTGAGGAAGTGCGTGAAAGGTGTAGAATGGAAGCGGACGAAAGGTTGTCGCACAACTTTAAGGAGAACTCCAAACTCTTCTGGAAAGAGGTTGGAAGGACCCGGAGTGGTGCGACAGCCTTAAGAATGAACAAAGTGCTTTCGAGAACTAATGACGTCCTCTCAAAAAAATCGGACGTCATGCAGCGATGGAGCGAATTTTATAGAGAAATGTATGCGTATGATGATCTTAGTGAGGGATCCGGGGATGACGCCGTGACTGGTACGCCAGACCCGGACCTCGATGACACTGAGGTCATCAGTATGAAAGAGATTGAACGTGCGATTCGAAGTTTGAAATGTGGTAAGGCTGCGGGACTAGACAGAGTTACTGCTGAAATGGTCAAGTATGGTGGGCCTCGCGTCTGGGACAACTTTCATCTGCTGTGCAATTTGTGCTGGCGGACGGGGGATGTCCCGGATGATTGGCGATCCGCAGTCATTGTGCCTTTATATAAAGGTAAAGGTTCACATTTTGACTGCGGGTGCTATCGGGCGATCAGCTTGACCAGTTTAGCAAGTAAAGTTTACTCGAAGGTTTTGACACGTAGGATGCAAGAGAAATCGGAAAGATTTCTATGGGAGGCACAATGCGGATTTAGACCTGGAAGAGGATGCACGGATCAAATGTTTTCTCTCCGCATGATCACGGAAAAGCTTCTGGCTGCTAACCAGAAGATTTTCTGTGCTTTTGTGGATCTTGAGAAAGCATTTGATAAGGTTGTAAGGAAGAAAATGTGGGAACTGTTGCCGGGGTATGGTGTGGATGGTCGATTGCTAAGGGCTGTGCAGTCTCTTTACTGTGACTGTAAAGCCTGTGTGCGGGTAGGGCATGACCTGTCACCCATGTTTGACGTCCAAACGGGCGTAAAGCAGGGTTGTGTCATGTCTTCCTGGCTGTTCATACTGTATCTCGACAGCTGTTTACAGAAGCTGAAAGATAGTTGTTTGGGTGTGAAATTGGGTGACATTAAAGTAAATTGTCTGCTGTATGCTGATGATGCAGTGCTTATTGCACCATCAGAGGCAGAACTGCAGGCATTAGTCACGTGTATGAAAGAGGAATGTGAAATTAAAGGTCTCCGTTTGAATGCTAATAAAACTAAGGTTCTGGTATTTGAAAGGGACGAAGAGAGAACGAAGTGTGAAATATGGGTAAATCAGGAATGTCTAGAACAGGTAAATGAAATTGTATACTTGGGGAGTGCTTTTAGCCGGGATGGAAGATGTGATTTAGATGTGGACAGGCGTGTCGCTGCCGGGAACAAAGTCAATGGTGCCCTGACTGCGTTAGTCAAAAGGCAAGGCGTAGCGAAGAGTGCACGCCTTGCAATACATAACGCAGTGTTGGTACCGACTTTGTTATATGGCAGCGAAACCTGGGTATGCCAGAAGAAGCATAAAAGTAAGTTGAATGCAGTGGAGATGCGATCTCTTCGTAAAATGTGCGGCGTTACCATGGCCGACCGAAAGCGAAACGAAGAGATTCGCAATATGGCAGGTTTGAAAGATGACCTTATCACAAAAATTGATAAGGGCGTGCTTCGGTGGTTTGGGCACGTTGAGCGAATGAGTGAAGACCGAATGGTGAAGAAAATATATAGCGCGAAAGTTAATATTAAAAGGTGTCGAGGTAGACCGAGACTAACTTTCGAAGACCATGTGAGCAAATTGCTCGAAGAGGGTAGGGTCAAAAGTACTCGGATACCTAGACGTGCATGCATGAAGAAGATAATGAATCTGAAAGAAGCGAAAGAGGTTTGTAAGGATCGTGACACTTGGCGATCTGTTCTCTCTGGCTACCCCGTCAGGGATTGTGCGTGAAGATAAATAAGTAAGTAAGTAAGTAAAATAAATAGATTTCAGGACGACTAATAAAATCTATTATCAGTTTGTCAGTGCGCGACAACTTTTTTATAGTTATTGTTTTAAAATGCCAAGGAGAAGACGACCTGACTTAGGTCGTCGAAGTCAATCAAATGTGCGACGAGCTACCTCACGTTCAAACCGCGCTGACGACCAGCGAGAGAGAGATAATAATAACATACGTATGGCAGAGATATTGTGCTTCATCGCCGGAACAATATTTTAAAAAGTGTGTCTGAAACTCATAGGACTTATGACGCGTTACAATACCCATTAATCTTCTGGCACAGAATAAATAATTACAGAAGTTGCACTCTTTTGATGTTGACTGCTTGCCGACATTTTAATAGGCTACATAGTAATTATTAATCACATAAATCGCGCACGCAAGCTAAATAAGACTTTATCGCTGCGCGCGAATGTCCGTATTATTTTGCATCTTTTCTCCTTACTACGTCACAACGGACTTTCCGTGGATGCTTTCCGAGGGCTGTTAATAAAGAGTAAAAAAATACAATGTGAAATGGTAAGTTACTTAGGTAGAGTACCATGTGATCATGTGTGCGACTTACCGTGAGGCGTGTCAACTACTACAGTTGCTCGAAAATGATTCACATTGGGATAACACGCTTAAGGATTCCGTCATATCTTCATCGTCCGTCATATCAAATTCGCACAGTGTTTGCGATTATAACATCGACATGTTTCCCATCTAATCCGGAAGATTTGTGGATGAAATATAGGGATGGTATGTCTGAGGATGTGTTGCATCGTGTGCGTTGTCAAACTTTGAATCCTACACTACAAACTGCAGAAATTTACAATGAGACATTGATCATGCATGGTGGAAGATATGTGTTTATTGAAGGTAAATAAAGTAGTGTCGTGTTTGGGAATGACAGCACCCAGTCGTCCCATGCGCGATGCATTTAATCACGAGTTGCAAAGAGAAGAACAATACAATAATGAAGTATTGGCCGAAACAGTTCGTTCAAATGTTCCGCAATTAAATAAACAATAAAGAATTGTATACGATACTTTGATGGAAGCTGTGAACAGTGGATGTGGTGAAATTTACTTCCTTAATGCTCCAGGGGGGACTGAAATAACATTCCTAATTTCATTGCCGTTGGCAAAGATCAGATCGCAAAATGAAGTAGCCCTAGCGTTGGCTTCATCTGGAATAGCTGCAACGTTGTTAGAAGGTGCCTTGAAATTATTACTAAGCATGTAAATCAACGAAGCACCAGTTTGCAACATTGCCAAAAGCAGCACAATGGCGAAGATTTTACAGATATGAAAATTAATCGTTTGGGATTAATGGCCCATACGAGGTCACTGGAGGCACTGGACAGAAAATTGAAAGATCTTCATGACAACCAAAACATTTTTGGTGGAGCCATGATTCTGTTGTCAGATGATTTTCGTCTGACTCTCCAATTATTCCCCGATCAACTAACTGTTGCTGACGAACAAACGCATTCTTAAAATCATCTAATTTGTGGCAGCATGCAAAGAGACTCCAACTAACAATTAACATGCGAGTGTCTTTGCAAAAAGATCAAACTGCGATTATGTTTTCGAAGCAGTTATTAGATATTGGAAATGGTAATGTCGCAGTTGACACCTCGACCGGATTAATTACACTACCCACGGAATTTTGTCACTTCGTCGACTCAAAAGAGGAGCTTGTTCAGCGTGTTTTTACGGACATAGAACAACAGTTCAAAACCATAGTTGGCTCAGTGAACGAGCAATATTGGCGGCCAAAAACAAAGATGTCGATTATATCAATGCGACCATTCAGAATTTTCTTTGAGGAGAGTTGTTTTCTTACAAATCAGTTGACACGGTTACAAACCAGGATGACGTAGTCAACTATCCCACGGAGGTTTTAAATTCCCTGGACTACCACCTCACAATTTACAATTATAAGTAGGATCAGTTGTGATTATGCTGCGTAACATTAATCAACCTCGAATGTGCATTGGAACGAGACTGACTGTGAAAAAGCTAATGAATAACCTCATCGAGGACAAGATTATCAAGGTAAAATACAAAGGAGAGGCTGTCTTGATCCCTCGTATACCGATGATTCCAACGGATTTTCCATTCGATTTGAAGCGTCTACAATTTCCCGTGCGTCTGGCCTTCGCGATGACCATAAATAAATCGCAAGGCCAGTCGTTGAAAATTTACGGAATTAACTTAAAGAGTTTCCCTGTTTCGCGTATGGGCAATTATACGTCGCGTGTTTACGAGGCGAAAAACCATCATCTTTATATATTTACGCACCGCAAAAAAAGACAAAAAATACAGTACATCAGAAAACTTTAAATTGATTAAGTGTGTATATGTATATATATATATATACATGTGTTGCACTTAATGTAAATAAAAAAATTGTATTAATTTTAGACCATACCTTTCACAAATATATGTAGGTGATACGAAGTTCACCGGCTAGTTATTTTAATAATAATCTGCTGCTACCGCTGATCTACTCCGATAAGTAGCAAGCCCATACTAAAGAGTGCCAAATATTGTTAATGAGTGGCCAGTACCTGCTAATTAATATCAAGTAGGTATGATATCTATGTTTGGTGCCTCTTAATGAGCGCCAATCACACTACCTATGAATGACAAGTGCCAGCTAATGGGGGCATCCAGGCCAATCCTCTCGCCAGGACGGCGCCACTTTGCAATGTGATGAAATATTTGTCAGATTTCATTAAGGGAAGATAATTTCTTGGGAAAATGTAAGAGTTTCTGCAATATTAGTTATATTTTATATTAATTAGATTAGAAATGAATAAACTAAATTTATTATATTCCTAAAAGTCTTCATTACATTTTCCTAATAAATTAACTTACAAGTCACGGCACGTAAATCTAGCGCTGAACGAAACGTGGCGGGGATAGCTGCGCATGGTACTGTCGCGCATGTATCAGTACGGGGGACGGAATGCGAGTGGAAAACTAATCAGCGCGCGGAATGCGATTGGAGAGCCAATCAGAGAGTGCGAACGATACGCACGCCCCACCCCGCGACCCGCTTACCTTATGATACTGTTACGAGCTTGGGGATCGAGACAATTAAAAACTGCCGAGTTAATTACCAAAATTGACACTATAATTACAAAACACTAATTAAAACTTAAAACCACATTAATAACAAAACATAATTGTACTACTGATCACTTTAGTTCACAGTTGTATCGCTTCGAAGTATTCGCTTGTATCGCCAACTCAAAACTGACCCCGGTCGCGGTCTATACCGGCCTTATATAGGGCTTCAGACAGTTCCAGAATCTTCTACTGTAGAAACATCTAGAATGTTCGAGTACATACCGGTCCCGATTGACTAGGTGTCGATAGTTCTAGAAAGTTCTTCCACGGAAATTTCTAAGATCTTGACTCTCCTAGTTCTGCTACTCGATACTAGATGACGCTAGTGGTAACTAGTGTTGCCATGTACTATTAATGGTGGCGCTCAACAATACCATATTTTCGACTTATGCGCAATAAAGTTCACCGCTAGACTTACGTGCCGCGACTTATACCCGCTATAAAATCTGTCAAATATTAAACTTCATTCCACAACTTCCTCAAGTCTTGAATTTATGGTCATGGTCTTTATGGTGATCATTAATGTCAAATATGATATCGATTAGTAGTAATTAAATACTAATTGTGTAATTGTAAATAGTATTAAATACCAATGAGTGGTAATCGTGTTATTGTTGATAACACTATATGACACGAATGTCAAACACAACATTTATAATAATTTAATAACTTACTCGCTATCTTCATTGGTTAGCACATTCCCGTGAAGAAACAGGTCGCTTCTGACTGTGTATATGTTGTTTTCCGAACTTTCAGACTGCTCCACCTAAACATAGAAAAATCTCCGAATATTAGTTAATATTTATCACTTTTAACTTTAATGACATTGAAGAAACAGACAAGCTTGAAGGCAAAGGTAAATTGCATATTGGCTTTATGACTTCAAAATATCAAAAAAAAATTATAAACCATATTTTATTTTAAAATTGAAAACTTATTTTTTTCCAATTCTTCCTTCCTCAAACACTAAATTGTTAATTTTTTTTACCCTTTTGTGTGGACAAGGCCGTAAGTAATTTAATCCGATATTCTAGGCTTAAATTCATTCGTAATATTAATGATGAATAATTTTTAATTGGGGGTTTAAAGTGCTAAAAAGTTTAAGCTGTTAACCGTGTACTGCAACTGCTGTTGTAAATAGTAATGACCACAAATAATAAAAATAATCGGAAGTGCAAAGTGAGCAGGGCACTCATGCCACAAACAGGCGCAGTACAGCCTAATTGACTGTGGACTTTTGACAGACTGTAATGAGCGAATGAATGGATGTCAAGAAATATTTCTAACTCAATATTTAGTCTTTTTATTCTATCTGCATCACCCCAAGGTAGACTGGTAGAGAATGCCCCAGGCATTAATTCCGCCTGTATACCACGTATTAAGTAATATACACATATTAAGTTTTAAATAAATAAATAAACAAGTATTTCTAATTCAATAGTGTAATGTGTAACACATAAAAACTCTTACAAAGCTACTAACTTGCACGTCCTCCTCCAACACGTACGTGTCTTCGCGGTTTCCGTAGGCGCAGTGGGCACGCGGTAGCAGCGGCCACGTGCAGTGGGTCCTCGCCGCGTGCTGCTCCTCTTCCAGTTCTACTGCCGGCTCCGCATCCGCTTCTGTTAGAACACCTGTTTCTACCGGCTCTTCCTGAGTCTTCGCTTCTATTTTCACGCCCACCACGCCGTCTATATGCACGTCTCCAGCAATATCTATTTTGGTAACAGTACTGTACTGCACTGGCGTCTCTTGTAGTAAACTCACCTGTAAAATTTATGCCAAATAGTTCTCATTACTACTATTTTTGGTCCTAAGGTTTCCAACACTAGATGATTATGACATCTTCTTGGACGGCTGGGATCACGACGGGAACTTATAAGCCTAGTGCCAATGCTATACTCCGGGTTCCCTGGATTATCAACTCTTAGTTCGAAGTTTAGTCACAAAATAGATAATAATACAAGTACAGAAGAATCACTCTCTGATAGCAAATATGCTATGCTATAAGTTTAAACCTAGTTACAACGTCGCTAATGTTCATAAGTTTCAATCCGCGCTTTAGGCATGAAAATATAGATACGCTGTACGGCCACCTTCAAGAGGTTCATTCAATGAGGTTGTCACACGCGCACTGGAGCTGACGCGCGCCTTACGTATACAAAAAAGTATTTTCCTCTTATAAGTATTTAGGCACTTTTGAAACTCAAAAATGTTTTTATTCAAGTACGGGCACTCATAAATTCAAAAGGTACTGCATAGCATACGGGTGCTTAAATAACAATAGGAATGTCGACATTTCGTTCTTTACTGTTTCTAAGGATATCGAATGGTAAGATATTATTATTTATAGGTAGATCTAGATATTTAGGTACCTTACGCCATAGTTACAGGTTTATCATTTGATTAGCGATCCGACCGATTGTTTCGCGTATAATGTCAATGACCTTAAAAATGTTCAGTGTAAGTAGACCTCCCAGTACTAGTGAGATCCTACTAATGCAAGATCAGCATATACTGGTTGTTTGAACAATAGATCATAATACATATTATTAGTTAAACACTTACTTGGTCGATAAAAGAGAATGAAAATAGAAGCACTTCTCATTGCCACTCTTTCATTAATAATGCTGTCGCGTGTCGCATGTTTATAATAGCAAAAAATATGAAAGAGAAAATAGTAAGTAGTATCTAAGTTTCAAAGACGTTCACGTTGTTATAATCTTAATTTTTCTCGATGTTGCATATAAATAGTTTTAGATAAACTTGCTCACATTGAACAATAATGTTCTTATTATCAGCAAATTACTAATGCATTGCATAACACCTCGGTGTATTCTACTACCCTTACAGTATTTATAAGCAAGCTATGCTTATAAATACACTAAGGTCTAAGCTACTACCAACTAACATAAAAAGATTCAATTTGTTTTCTCACAACACCTAACTCTACAGTAGCAGCGGCCTTAACAAAGGTGTGTAACGGGCTAAGCGATACAGACTCTTGCACGCGGACGTAAGTTGCATTTCATACGCACGCCACATAAATTTTTTTCGACGATTTAATCGGTGGGCTATTTTAACGAAGGTCGCTTCCGAGGCGTGCAAAGTATTATAATCATTAGCGACGTTGTAACTAAGTTTAAACTCGCAAGTTTGCTATCAGTGATTCTTCTATTCTTGTACTATAATTTATTCTGTGATAATACTGTACACGCCTCATATGCGACCTTTTTTAAAATAGTTTACCGATTGTTGCAGCGTGCGTATTAAATCAAAATGCAACTAACGTTCGCGTGCGAGAGTCTATATCACTTAGCCCGCTACGCGCCTTTGTTAAGGCCGCCCCTACTGTAGGGTTTGGTGTTATGAGAAAACAAATTGAATACTTTGATATTAGTTGGTAGTAGAATACACCGAGGTGTTATGCAATGTATTAGTAATTTGCTGATAATAAGAACATTATTGTTCAATGTAGGGTAGGTTAAAGGTATTTATTACCTTTTACTACTACCTACTTATACTTTATTACTGATACGTGCTGTGTGATGCCGGTAGAGTAGATAGCATCACCCCATATCTGTCTGAGGGTGTCGTAAAAGGCGACTAAGGGAATCTAAAGAAGTACTGATTATCTATTACTCCGTCCAGCAATCCGCATTGGTGACGCGCGGTCCCAGCAGTGGGTCAATATTTAGGTTGATAATAATGATGTTGTTACGTTATTTTTAAATAAATTGACAACAGTTTTAGATTGCTTAAGTATATAATTTGTACATGAAAAAATGGTACATGCCCTGAATCATAGTTTATAAGACTTGTAACATTATAATAAATCTGTAACTATGACGTCAATAGATAACTAGGTAACTAATTATCTAGATCTACCTATAAATACTAATATCTTACCTTTCGATATCTTTAGGTACACTCTAGGAACAGTAAACAATGAAAAGTCGAAATTCCTATTGTTATTTAAGCACCCGTTTTCTATGCAGTACCTTTTGGCTGTTTGAGTGGCCATACTTGAATAAAATGTCAAGAATAAATATCAAATGGCTAAGTAGGTATATTTTCATGCCTAAATCGGGAAGTGAGACAGGCCTGGTTTAGTGTACCAGTAAAGTTAATCTTTCGAAATTAGTAATCGATCGCGCGACTGAGTAAATCAGCGCATTTGGTGAAATCATCAATTCAAAACCGAAACGAATAGTTATAAAAATACTTAAGTTTGGTTTCCGGCTGTGGAGATATGAACATGCACTTAGAAGGCATAATCTTTTTGTTACTATTTTCTGAGAGCACGGGCCTGATGCTTCGGACGCTTAACTGTGGAAACCAAATGGGGATTTCAAAATTATATACTCACGGTGAATGTATTCTCTGCATTAGGCTCCACGAGAGTAGTAGCATCGGACGTCAAAGTTTTCTCTGTACTAGTTTCTTCCTTTTTATGCACTTTCTTCATGTGCATATACAAAGAACTCATATTGTTGAAACTCTGCTGGCAGCCTGTAAAACAAGTTAGTGATGAAGCATTACTCCATGACTGATGGCCAGGTAAGTCGTTTTACACTATCCGAGTTTATATAATACACATTGAGCGTTAGAAAGATATAATCGCCTAACTTCGGCTCTTTACAGCATTATCTGTGTCGCACGAAGCCCTAAGAGAGTCCGGTATTTATTAAGAGTTGTTTAACAATTACTTTATTTTGTAACTAAATATAAATGCCTAACCATAAAAATAAAACATTATAATAAAGCACTAGTATCAGTCTTACGTGGTAGACTGGTACTAGTACTGTAGCCATGCTGCAGCTATATTATGGTTACAGCACAAATGGGTCTTACTAGTGTAAAATAGCAGCTTAATGCTGCTGTATTTCGTATGGTGAGTGTAGAGACCGAAAATTATTTTTACTAGAAATCATCAGACATTTCATCTTAGTCCTCGAGGATGACGACATGCATTTTGATCCTTCTTCGAGATGTCTATGGGCCACAGCATCCACTTAACATCACATAGATTATGTACTAGTTTGCCACCAATAATCTATCTATAAAAAAAAATATCAATTCTTCCATTTAAGTATCTGTGCTCATATACAATACAAATTCAAGACATTTTTTTAATGTTTAATTACATTTCATCATAATTTACAGGATGGGCCTTAACAGTATGAGCGTTTTATTTTGTCTATAATTCAAAAACCGTTAGAGGTACGGGAGCGCGGGGGGTGTCGTTGGACGCGCCATTTCGTGGAATTTTTAGTCGCCATGGACGCGTTCTCGGGAGCACAGCGTGCGTTTTGTGTTCGCGCATATTATGTCAACAACAATTCTGTGACTGTTGATAGGCAAATGTACCGCATTCACTTCGACTTACATGACATCGGAGAAGCACCATGCGCAAATTCTATTCGGAAATGGGTTAAGATGTTCGAAGAAACAGGATCTACAGTAAAAATAAATAATGCGGGCCGCCGGAAGTCAACACGGACGCCAGAGAATTTTTATGAATCGATTAGAAAAAATCCTCGACAATCGACTCGCAAAAGAAGCCAAATCTTGAACATCAAGAGGACTACTTTGCGCAGGATTTTGCACCGTGATTTGTATTTAAAAGCGTACAAAATTCAGTTAACACAAGAGTTGAATCCTGATGATGCCAGTCTTCGACTTAATTTTGCTAATGTTATGCTGGAACGTTTTAACAATTTTTCCAACGTAATCTTCAGTGATGAGGCAAACTTTCATATCAACGGACGAATGTTAATAAGCAAAATTGCCACTTTTGGTCCGAATCTAATCTCCGCGAGATGCATCAAAGACCTCGGCATAGCCCTAAGGTCGTTGTGTGTGTGGGCTGGAATATCGGCTAGTGGAATAATTGGGCCATACTTATTTGAAAACCAAAGAGGAGTTGCTGTGACAGTGAGATCTGAGAATTGTCAGATGTTGCAAAAATTTCTGGTTTCAGCTTTTCAACAATTTCAAGGTTACAATTCTAGGACGTGGTATCAACAGGATGGAGCCACTTGCCACACTTATACAGTCTCAATATACGTGCTGAAAGAAATGTTTCCAGGAAAACTCATATCGCGAAGATGAGACATTGAGTGGCCTCCAAGGAGTCCAGATCTTTCTCCAAATGATTATTTTTTGTGGGGTTACCTAAAAGCACGAGTCTATGAAAGTAATCCAACAACAGTTGAAGAGTTAAAGCAAAACATTGTGCAAGAAATTAACGCTATTCCACGAGCAACTTGTCAACGTGTTTTTCAAAATCTGCGAGTACGACTACAAGAATGTCAAAAAGCTGGTGGCAGTAACTTAAATAACATTATCTTCAAAAATTAGATGTCACTTAAATTTCAATTTCCTGTACTTTTTAAATGTATAAATAAAAAAACAATAAGATTTATAGTTATATTTTTATTGCATATTGAAACCACTCATACAGTTAAGGCCCATCCTGTATATGTGCCAGTTTGTTCGATTACTTATATATCTTGTACATAATGACATAAGCCCGCTGCTAAAGAAATCTTGGGATTTTTTAACTAAAAAACGCGACAAGTAGTTTTGAGTAGTCCTTTCTTGATGTTAACCTAACACTACCCAAAGAATTCTGAAGAGACCGAAACAATTGAAAATCTGAGGGTGCAAGGTCAGGACTATATGGTCTACTTTGCAACCAAGCTCCCTCAATTTTTATTGAGTGGCCAAAGATGTGTGTGGTCTGGCGTTATCATGATGAAAGACCACTCCTTTTCTGTTGATCAATTCCCGCTATTTTTTCTCAATTTCTTGCTTGAGTCTCATTAATTGTTGGCAGTAGAGATCCGAATCAATGGTTTTGCCCGGCGGAAAAACATCATAATAAACGGTACCCTTCCTATCCCTCCATACACACAGAAGCACGTTACGCGTTCCGGGTTTCTCTACAGTCTGTGGAGCATGACTACCCTTTGACCACGATCTTTTTCGCATTTTCTTGTCATAGGGGATCCATTTTCATCACCAGTGATCCATCTTTTCAAAAATGGTTCGGTTTTATTACGTTTCAATAGAGAATCGCAAATGATTCATTACAAGTGTGACACTGAAAGTTCTTAGAAAATCAAAAACTAAAGAAACTAGCAAGTTATTAGTTTTATTATATCGTTTCAAAATGTGTAGTAATTCACATCAATACATCGCTGCATCCAATGGAACCATTGAGAAAAGCACTTTGGCCACTCGCCCTACCACCCCTAAGGTCTATTCGACGGCATTTTGAAACGCAGCCACTACTTCCTCGGCGTCCCAAAAACGTTTTCCTCGAAGTTTTTTCTTTTATTTTCGGAAATAAATAAAAACCGCAAGGTCGGGGCTATAGCTCGAGGGTGACCCAGTAATTCCATGTTTGACGTCGCCAAGTTGTCGATTGTTTGCTTGGCGGTGTGCGACGAGGCGTTGTCATGGTGAAGGAGGATCCTACTGCGAGGTCGTTTCTCCCGAACTTTTTCCAAGACAAGTGGCAAACAAATGTTAGTGTACCACTCTGCAGTACCTGTTTTTCGATCCTCTAAAACAATTGTTGCGTAATGACCTGTCGTTCCGAAGATCGAGGCCACCATCTTTTTTCCCAAGCTTCGACCTCTGTTCACTTTAGTTGGCAACTCTTCGGAAGGAAACACCCAGACAGCAGACTGTTTCTTAGTTTCAGGATCATAACAATAAATCCAGCACAAAGCTTCCTGACCGCTAAATGTTCATGGAGGATTTTGTGTACTTGACTCATACCGATGCCTAAGCTTGTCCGAATCCGCTGATAAGTCACTCTTTTGTCAGACATCGAACGTCATAAAAAATTATTTTACAAAAATTTTCTCGCGTTAAATTCATGCTGACGTGACAAAGAAATAAAATACATACACATTGAATAAAACTAATTTTTACGGATTTTGTCGCCGTTTAATTAACTTATTTTATATTCCCGACGTTTCGGTTGCTTTCCAGCAACCATGGTCACAGGGGACTGAGGTGACTGACGTCCCGATGTCAGAGTTAACTCGGAGTACCTTCAGCTTTTTAATTATTAATTTTGGTCCGATCTACGCAGAATGAACTTACTGTGTCTTGAAGTCTTGCAGTGGTATGCTTGGGTTTATTTTTAATTTTATGAATTATAGGATCCCAAGCAGGTGGTAGTACCCAGCCTCCCTCTCTATTGAAATTAGGATGTTTTTTTTTTAATTTCAATAGCCTCACGTATCATCCTTGGCAGGAATCGATGTTCTTTCGCGAGAATTTGTGGTTTATCAAATGTAATGTAATGACGGGGGCCGTCTAGTATATGATCACAAACTGCAGACTTCCCGGAACGTTGGTGCTTCACGTCAGCTATGTTTCCTTTTACGCGGGTTTTTATTGATCGGTTTGTTTGCCCTATATATGAGAGACCACACTCACAATCAAGCTTGTACACTCCTGCGTTTTGTAGAGGAATATTGCACTTGACGGATGGTAAGAACTGACTAATCTTCTTCGACGGCTTGAAGAATGTTCTAATAGAAGCTCGCTTCAACCTACGTACCCAAATATCGAGCTTTTTTGTCTAGCTAGACTTTGTCAAATGGGTCGAAACTGTTTATGGTCAATACTTAATTTCTTGGCTATATCGTAACTACTAATATGCCAATCTTGCTCCACTTTTTCTAAAATTGCATCGACTTTATCCGTATTAGGGCGACCAAAGCAAGCTGCATCTTTGACATTAAAATTCCAGGACTGAAAATGCTTGAACCAACTTTGTACTACTCTTACTGACACTGCATTAGGTCCATAAATGTGGCGCGCGTGGTGCTCGCGCAGGTGCTCGCGGCGCAGCTCCATGTTGTCTAATGTTCTCTAAGCTCAGTGAGGCGGTACTGACCGGGGTGAGTGCAGGCGTGCGGCGGGCGTGCGCGCGGCGCGTGCTGGCGCGCGTGGTGCTCGCGCAGGTGCTCGCGGCGCAGCTCCATGTTGTCTAATGTTCGCTAAGCTCAGTGAGGCGGTACTGACCGGGGTGAGTGCAGGCGTGCGGCGGGCGTGCGCGCGGCGCGTGCTGGCGCGCGTGGTGCTCGCGCAGGTGCTCGCGGCGCAGCTCCATGTTGTCTAATGTTCTCTAAGCTCAGTGAGGCGGTACTGACCGGGGTGAGTGCAGGCGTGCGGCGGGCGTGCGCGCGGCGCGTGCTGGCGCGCGTGGTGCTCGCGCAGGTGCTCGCGGCGCAGCTCCATGTTGTCTAATGTTCGCTAAGCTCAGTGAGGCGGTACTGACCGGGGTGAGTGCAGGCGTGCGGCGGGCGTGCGCGCGGCGCGTGCTGGCGCGCGCGGTGCTCGCGCAGGTGCTCGCGGCGCAGCTCCATGTTGTCTAATGTTCGCTAAGCTCAGTGAGGCGGTACTGACCGGGGTGAGTGCAGGCGTGCGGCGGGCGTGCGCGCGGCGCGTGCTGGCGCGCGTGGTGCTCGCGCAGGTGCTCGCGGCGCAGCTCCATGTTGTCTAATGTTCGCTAAGCTCAGTGAGGCGGTACTGACCGGGGTGAGTGCAGGCGTGCGGCGGGCGTGCGCGCGGCGCGTGCTGGCGCGCGCGGTGCTCGCGCAGGTGCTCGCGGCGCAGCTCCATGTTGTCTAATGTTCGCTAAGCTCAGTGAGGCGGTACTGACCGGGGTGAGTGCAGGCGTGCGGCGGGCGTGCGCGCGGCGCGTGCTGGCGCGCGCGGTGCTCGCGCAGGTGCTCGCGGCGCAGCTCCATGTTGTCTAATGTTCGCTAAGCTCAGTGAGGCGGTACTGACCGGGGTGAGTGCAGGCGTGCGGCGGGCGTGCGCGCGGCGCGTGCTGGCGCGCGTGGTGCTCGCGCAGGTGCTCGCGGCGCAGGAAGGCGCGGCCGCACGCGGTGCACGCATGCCGCCGCTCGCCCGTGTGCCGCCGCGCGTGCCGCACCAACTTGCTCGCCGTGCGGAACGACCAGCCGCAATTCTGAGACACGCCATCATCATCATCATCATTACAGCCCTTCACAAGTCCACTGCTGAAAATAGGCTACCCAAAGGAATGCCACAAAGCACGGTCCTGAGCCACATGCATCCATTGACTTCCTGCATGTCTTACCAGGTCGTCTCTCCATCTAGTGGCGGGACGCCCTACACTTCGTCCACCGGTACGAAGCTGCCATTCGAGAACCTTTTTTCCCCGTCGGTTATCGGTTCTTCGAGTTATATAGCCGGCCCATTGCCACTTCAGCTTACTAATCCGTTGGGCTATGTCGGTCACTCTGGTTCTACTGCGGATATCCTCATTTCTAAGTTTATTACGTAGAGAAACTCCGAGCAAAGCCATCTCCATAGCTCGCTGAGCGACCTTGAGCTTCCTCATCCATGTCCATGTCAAGACCATGTCTCAGTTCCATAGGTTATCATTTTCAACATGCACTGGTTGTACAGTCTCGATTTCAAGTTTTGAGGTATACCTGACGAGAAAATATGCCGTAATTTCCCGAAAGCTGCCCAGCCGAGTTGAATCCTTCGATTGACCTCTCGGTCGAAGTTGGACTTACCTAGTCAGACTATTTGTCCCAGGTAAACATACTCGTCAACAACTTCGAGCTTAGCGCTCCCGACAACTACCGGCATAGGTGTGACATGGACATTAAACATGATCTTAGTTTTGTCCATGTTGATCTTAAGACCTATCCGTTGGGAGGCACTATTGAGGTCATTGAGCATAGTGCTTAGGTCCTCCAGTGATTTTGCCACAAGGACTATATCGTCGGCAAATCGAAGGTGAGAGATGTATTCGCGGTTGATGTTAATACCGCATCCTTTCCAGTCCAGAAGCTTGAAAACGTCTTCCAATGCAGCGGTGAAGAGTATAGTTTCGGGGATATAACGTCACCCTGTCTTACTCCTTTCTGCAGTTGGGTAGGTTTCGTACTCTGGTTCTGTACTCGGATAAACATCGTAGCCCTACTGTACAAAAACTTCGATATATCGACAGTCAACTTGGAACCGCTGAAGGGACTGGTAGCACCGCCCAAACTTCGACGGAACCAAAGGCTTTCTCATAGTCCATATACGCCAGACATAGTGGCAAATTGTACTCCTCGGACTTCTGTACAATTTGCCGAAGAGTACGTATGTGGTCTATCTATGGTGCTAAAGCCTTTTCGGAAACCGGCTTATTCAGGAGGCTGGAAGTCGTCGAGTCTGCATGCGAGACGATTCGTAATGACCTCTCGAAAACACATGTACACGCGGCTCAGAATGGAAATCGGTCTGTAGTTCTTCAAGAGAGCGTTGTCGCCTTTCTTGAAGAACAAGACCACCGCACTTCTGTTCCACGCCTCCGGTGTAGTGCCACCATGGAAGACGGAATTAAAGAGCCTCTGAAAGACTTCAAATACCGGTTTTCCACCCGCTTTCAGAATCTCCGCTATAATTCCATCCTCGCCTGGGGCCGTGCCGTTTTTAAGGTGCTGGAGAGCCATTCTATTCTCGCTCAAACTGACTTCCGGAATATCATCGGAATAGTGTCGGATAAGACTTGCTCTTGGATCGCTACTCACACCTGTGTGTGACTCCAACGACGATGCGTACAGCTGCCTCGTAGAACCACTCAATCTCACTCAAAACTCAGGTGTACCGGAAACGACGCTGCCACACGGTCGATCTTCAGCTTCGACAGTTGGCTCTTTCTGGCAGACAGATCTTTGCAAAGACTTTGGAGCCCTGGTTCCACTCGATCGCTTCTTAAATACGAGCAGTATTAAAATTGCGTAAGTCACGCCGCATGCATTTGGAGATCTGCCTGTTGAGTTGCCTGTATGATGTCAAATCTACTGAAGGCTGCAGCTTCATTTCTTGTCTAACAGCCATGAGATTAAGAGTGTGATTGGAGAGTTTTTGTGGTCTTCTGCGGCGTGTCTTGTAAAACTGAGCTCCGACCGCATGGACAGTTTCCACTAGCTTGTCAATCATATCGTCCACTGCATTGCAGTCTTAGGATTCATTGCAGGCACTGAAAAGGGTTTTGTAGCTCGAGCTGAAAGGTTTCGAGACTTTGGATTAGAGCACGAGGGGGACGGAGCGTTGACTTCATTAGACGTGACCTCTCCAACTTAACGTTTAGGTTCAGAGTGCCTCTCACCATTCGGTGATCGCTGCCGGTTTTCACCATTGCGATCACTGAGACGTCACTGAACAGTTGTCGTCTGGTCGTCATAATGAAGTCAATCTAATTTTTGTCGAACCGTCGGGGCTCCACTTCCAGTGGGGCCGCTTCTGGAAGAAAGTCTATCGTTGTTAACGAGAGACTTGTGGCCGATAAATCCGACACCTTCTTGGGACAGATGGTCGCCCTCCCTGGTATAGAAGAAGTTACCGGATTCAAGGATTACCATGTCCTCCCCCCTCTGTTCGGACCTCAGACAATCCAATAATATTCAAGCTCAACTTGTCTCTCTTCTTCCAGCTCCAGGATCTTCTCGTCAGTTCTCAGGGTGCGTGCGTTATATGTTGCCAGGTCGAGTCGTCTTAGGTACCAACCGAACTCCACCAGAGATTCTTAGCACCCCCTGCCCCGCCGTTACCATGGTCACGACCGTAGCCAGGAATAGCAGGGCCGCCGGGGACTGGGCGAACTCTCTTCGTAACTTTAATCATGGGGTGTGTATTGCCATAGTTGCCACGCCTGGCGAGCGGGTTGGCAACAGCAGTTTTTTATTGTTGTTTTGCTGTTATCAGAAAGATGCTGCTGCCCATCTTCTGCCTCAGTTTCCCTCTGCCGCCTCTTACGAGACCCACGGGAAGATATGGTGTAGTGGGTATTCTTACCCGCACTACACGGGGGCGACATGCCATTCGTTTAAAGCTATTGTTTCACTAAAATAATTATCATCACATCGTCATTATTATAGCCCTGCACAAGTCCACTGCTGAACATAGGTCTCCCCAAGGGATGCCAGAAAGCGCGGTCCTGAGCCACCTGCATTCACCGACTTCCTGCATGTCTTACTAGGTCGTCAAAACAAGTAAAAATCAAAATAATACAACAAAAAAATAATCAAAATAATACCAAAAAATACATCATATCTAACCCCGTTTATACAACATCGGCCATGATTAACAATCACAGAATGGGGCATGTTTGTCACAATCATTGCGCGGCTGCTCACACAATCGTGCATCCTACATATTTTATTGTCATCTGTCCGAGATGGACGTTGAAACAGTAGCAGCTGCCGCTATTTATTTTAAATTGTTTATAATATAACTATTTGAAATGTAGACCATAACAGAGTGGTGAAAAATAAGGAAGTTGTTCTATTTTTACTTGTTCTATTTCGGTGTATGTTAACTATACACCGAAACAGAACAAGGTAAGTTTATGGAGAATCGGCATTCGGCAGACCGCGCGCACGTTCTTGGCCGAACTTACTTTGATCCGAAAAAAGTAATAGGCGATTATGCCCCCTACACGATCATGATCACTAGAATTCGTCCATCATGGCCGATGGTATAGGCCCCGTAATAACGGTAATGTAGATAGAATTACAACTTTTATTACAAAAAGGTACTAAAGCATTTGTGAGCTCTCTGTAACTTACTACTCTATGAAAACAGCGTGTAATTATACGGCATACGTATACGCAATGGCAATCATATAGCGAAAAAGTGCACGCGGTCTTTAGATGCGGGCGTTGCGGAGAGTGGAAGAGTTCTGCCCACACACCCAAGGTGAACTTAACCGCGTAAATGCTTGTATGAAATGTCATTATTTTTTACGGTGCTTTTTGTCGTAGTTTGCGCAACTCTTCATGACAACTTAGTATTTTTGCTAGAAAAATTTACAACTATACCCGTGAAAGGTTACCGCGCGACTATTCCATTTCCGTGTAAAGAAGACCTTTTCAGTGGCGCCATTTTAACGCCAATGATAACATCGTCCTTCAACGATCCAATGCTGGCCATACGCTTCTGTCATAATAGAGGACTCACTATGCATCTGGCATGTATGAAATGGTTATTAGGGCTTTATAGTGTTTTCTAAGCTTCCAACGATACGAAGGGAACGAAACGGGAATTCTCTTACGTCAACTTCCACTATGTTTATATCTGTTAATAATTTCATCATAAATGCTTCACATTGTGTTATCATTAAAGATCACAAAACTTTTAGTCGCAGGTCTGAACCATGTGACTTCATGTCATGAAGCAGTTGTACCGTCTTCCCTTTACCCTCCAATATTGTACTACCAGACGCTCGGAGCCTTCACACTTGTTGTTGTGTATACTACGAATTTGAACCAAATTGTTTACTTCGTCGTTCATTATGTGTACAACAAAAGAGTTCTGTCTTTAAAAGTGAACAGGCTTTTATTATGCTAAATCTGTACACTTTACTATCTTCAGCTTCATCGTCACTTACCATCGCACAATATAGTAGTCAAACATCAGCTGACAAAAAGGAATGACGGAAAAATAAACGAAGGCTTTAAGGCAAAGATTTCCTACGTTAAAAGGCTTTAGCGCTCGCTTCTCCGCTGCATGGATAGTTGTCCTACACGAAGTAAGCGTGCGACATTCAGTGGAAAAAAGTTATTTTATTTGAAACGTTTTTGCTTATTATGAGGAAATAAAGAATGATCTATCAAAGTTTAATATAATATATAGAAAATTATAAGGTTATTGCTTATAAAAACGAGAACTCGACCGTTAAAGATTTTTCCCCGGCGATTAAATTATATTTTTTTTTATCTCGATTACAATAAAGTATTTTAAAAATCTATTCCATTTAGAATTAACTTGAGTATTTCATGTATTCACCATATTCTTTTCCGACCTTATAATATATCAAAAAGTATTAATTTTCGTGCATCTAAAATACGACCTTTTGTACAACCTGGACTAAGAGAGAATGTTAAATATATTAGAAGGGAGTGTTAAATAGAGGCCGTTTACCGGATAATTGCAGGGGTAGGGCTTGTCGCCGGTGTGCGCGCGCGTGTGCTCGCGCAGGCGGCAGGGCTGGCGGAACACGCGGCCGCAGCCCGGCCAGCCGCACGTCAGCGCGCCGCGCCCCGCGCCCGCGCCCGCCCCCGCGCGCCCGTGCGCCCGCCCGTGCGCGCGCAGCCCCGACGCCCAGAAGAACCGCCGCCCGCACTCCGCGCACCTGCGCAGTGCGCACCACACCAACTTATACCACAACCTACACCTATCCTTGACACTCTTTAACAAAACATTTTCTTTTTCAAAAAAAGGTAATAATAAGGAAGGCGAAGGTAATATGGTCACCTTAAGCTCTGCCGCCCTATAAAACCAAAACTAGGAGGAGGACAGAGACAAAACCACAAAGTCGTATACTATAACTAATATATTTTAAAAAGAATAGCAAACCAGTTTTGCTAATAATTAGGAACACTTCGAAAAATCAACTAAAAAAAAAATTATTATTTACAAATTATATACAAACTATACTATACAAAATATTTACAACCATTTCAACTATTAAAATGGCATCGATAAAGCAGCGCCCTTTTGACACTTTATTATTTGATTGACTGATGAAGATGTAGAACTGATCACAGAGCTATCTATGTAAACAAGGCTGTACTTTTTGAGTTATAAGAAAGTGACCATATTAACCGGATGACCATATTACGCCATACCATATTATTATATACAATATTTTTGTCACGTTTCCTACATTGTCATAAGATTCTGAGCTATGTTCAAAATTTCAAATCTCTAGCTCATCGGGAAGTGCTCGAAATTTTAGTTGCAAGATTCCACCCAGAACGACAGACAGACAAACAGACAAACAAACAAGAAAGTGACTTATTATAAACGCAGTAAAATAAAAGACTTCCTCTATATCAGACCCAAAAAATGATCTTGTCTCCTAATTTGAAAACTTTAAAAGAGGACATGGTAATATCACGCGTTTTCGACATTCTGCTACTTGAAGTCAAAGAATTTAAAATCACTGAGGTTATGCGACCCACTGGACGATCTTCCCTTTTCCTTCCACGTTCAAACTCAGAAATTGTATTTATTCAAAGATTTCTATGTATGTATTACACTGGACTGACAATTCAGAACCAAAAACTTTCACAGCTGTGGATCGAAATGACCCGCCCGTGGCGCACGGGTGATCTCACGATGAATTCGTCACGCAGCACACTATATTTATATAATTAAATCACGTTGACGTGAAATAATGACAGCGTTTTCTTAGTCACATTAAACAAAATCAGTATTAAGTTGACGAAAACAACGTTTGCGGTTTACAAAACAAAGAAGTAGTCTCCTCGCCCACTCGCAGTCGAGTAAAGAATTTACGGAGAATTGACCGTAACTTAGTAGGCAATGTATTAGTACCGTAAATCGTCTCCCACACACAAGCGGCTTACGGTGGCGGCTAACCGCGAGCCGCGACTCTAGCCGCTGCAACAACACACCACCGCGGTCGCAGTGGCGGCCTGAAGCTCCATTCGCTGTGGTGTCGTGCTACGATTAGACGTCAGTAAACATGGCTAACCGTGACGAAGTCTTATTATATTCAGCAATATTATCATATATTTTGTTTTAATCCTAATGCTTTTGTAATCACGATGCGAATTATCATAAGATATTAGATTATTTTTGCTGTGTTTCTATTAGAATCACATTTTTCACGCAGTACACGCGGCCTGTTGTAACAATTTGCAAGTGACCGCGCTGCGACCACAGACTGACCGCGTACTCGCTAACACACATTGTTGGCGGAAGGGGCGGAGCATGCGGCCGCGGCCAGCCGCTCGCAGATCGCGACACGGCCGCTTGTGTGTGGGAGACGCTTAAAGCGTCTCCCACACACAAGCGGCTTGCGGTGGCGGCTAACCGCGAGCCGTGGCTCTAGCTTCTGCAACGACATACCACCGCGGCCGGAGTGGCGGCCTCAATCGCCATTTGCTGTGGTGTCTGTACTACGATCGGACGTCAGTAAACATGACAAACCGCGACGAAGTCTTATTATATTCAGCAATATTATCATACATTTTGTTTTTAATCCTAATGCTTTTGTAATCACGATGCGAATTATCCACAGATTACCCCCTTAATCTATGGAATTATCATAAAGTACTGGATAATTTTGCACTGTTTCTATTAAAATCTCTGAATTTAGCAACATTTTTCACGCGGTACACGCGGCCTATTGTAAAAATTTGCAACAGACCGCGCTGCGGCCACCGACTAACCACGTACTCGCTAACACACACGCGTTGGCAAAAGGGGCGGAGCATGCGGCCGCAGCCAGCCGCTGACAGGCCGCGCCATGGCCGCAAGAGTTTGCAGACTCACTTACAATGCAAGCGAATACAACTGGTCGCCATCACGGCCGCCACCGCAAGCCGCTTCTGTGTGGGAGACGCTTAATGCCTGTCCAGTAGTATAACCAAAATAATAGAAAGCTGAACTAGAATTTTTTTACACAAATTTTGCACAAATAAAAATATTATAGTATTGTAGTTAATTTCAAAGCACACAACACAGATCGATCTTCGTCAACTCCAATGAATTTTTTAACTGAAATTTTAGTTGCGGATTTACATTATAAATAATACTTATTAAAAGTCATTCTTGTTTAATTTACCACTCGTTTGGAAAATATCTCTGTCCTGGGAAGAATCATCAAGGAACGAATCCAAATTAGTTACAATTAGTGTTGTATCACTGATGGGATGCTTATATATTACATAGCCCATGCCCAGCAGTAGACTTTAACAAGCCCATTATGAAAAAAGAAGCACTAGAAACCACACGGCTGCTGTTCCTACCAATACAAAAAAAACAGCTTGCAATATACCAGTAAATTAACACAACTGCTCTCGAAATAATGCAACGAGGTTCGTACGCCAACTTCAGTTCTTAATATGAAAATGTTTCAAATAAATACTGCAACACATACACATGGTTAGCTTCTTCTAAAGTATGTTCTTCATTTAGATGTTTCAAAAGTTCTTCTCTTAATACAAATGTCTTTCCACATGGCTCCTCTATGCCAGATTTAAGTGCCTTGATTGGACATTCTAATATTGTTTGCCTAGGTGTTCTATTACTTCCTCCTTTGTTATGGGTATTTTGATGCTTTTTAAACTTTTGTTTATTCGAGAACTCCTTATTGCAGTCGGATATGTCACACTAAAACCAATTAACATGATCAAAAAGCGATTAGCATTTTAGTTTATGTAACAGTATTGAAAAATATAAAATTAAACTCAAGGAAGCTTTCAGCAATCCAGCAATTCAAAGGCTCCTAATTGACTTGACAAAAAATGCTGCTATATTTTATACTGCATGGACTTTTCAATAATACGCTTATCAGTGCATTAATTTCAATAATGCATACATTTATAGAGATCAATAATAAAGTGTTGGGCATGTTTTTAGCCGCGAACTAAGCTTTTGGTAACGAAAACATTTAAATGAACATGACGGCACGTGCACCATTGCACGTGCTGCGGCGTCGGTGTAGCTAGACAGAATTCTTGTAAACAACACGTGCACCGCACACCTGCGCCATTGCACCTGCGGTGGCGCCCGTTGTACTTGTATAAAACGGATGGAGCGGCTCCCTCTTCTCCCAAAAGAGGGTCGCTTCCGATCCGACAAAGCGGCTTAATCGGCCAATTGTCATTCCCCAAAGTGGAGTTTAGTGGGTATCACTTAGGGTCCCAGTAGGTAGTCACAGTGAGTCCCACATAACCACGACAGACCGGCTATCGTGGTATGCATAAAGCATTCTCCACTTCCCTGCGCAATCGGGGTAGCCCTTTCCAATTGCTTCTGGGCGCAAAAAAAAAGAAAACGCCGTTAAGACAGTATTGGCTCTGACGTGGAATGGTGCGCTTGTCGTATTCCGTAACAGTATATCCTTGACTCGATGGATAATTAATTATTATTCTTAACTACCCCTTTCTACAAACATATAATAATACTAACAATAACATAACAATAATACTTGAATAATGGTCAAATTAACCCCGTTTTTTAGTCATAAAAAAGTTAACAATTACATAATTTTAGAATCAATTTAATGATAAACAAGGCTAAAAATAACACTCAAAAATGTTACCATGATATAGATTAAAAAGTGGGCAGGACATACATTTTTCAGGCAAATGACATCAGTCGCGCATTAGACGTCAAACAATTATGAGGATTTTTTTTATAAATAAAAAATTCTATCTTAAAAATTGTTAAATGATTTCGCAATAACATGAGCGCAATTTGTAGCAGTGTTGTCATCGCACCATAAGCGAAACGAATCGAAAAAAATTAGGTGTAATTGAGAATCAATGTGTGGCGCGACGGCGCCCCTACATTGATACTGAATTACAGCATATTTTTTTAAATATATTAATACCAATGAGAAATAAAGTTTTATTTACAAACAGTAAAATTTGTTCATCTATTACATAACGCCGTTATTTAGTAATCTGGCGAATGATGATTGAATGGAAGCTTTTAGACTGGTGTCACTAGAACCTTATTAAATTATACATCATTATAATAGCTAATCACATAGCAGATGCAGTAAATTAAAATAAGGAGAACAAGAATTCAAAGAAAGCATTAAATTACTATAGTGTTAATATACCTTAAATTTGGCAGTGCTTTTAGTGAGATCATTAAAAGTATTGTTTTGTATATTAGACACAGAAGGCACTAATTCCCCTTGTATGGTTATAATATTATTCCTGTGCATTGAGGAAACAACCGATAACGGAACCATTGTTGTTACTACATCCAACTTTTGCTCTAAAAACATGTTGCCTTCATGAGAGATCAACCCATTACCTGAAAATTTAAAAAAAAATCAGTGGTTAGTATTAATTTAAAAATTGACTTATTACTTTAAAAAACTTACAGTATTAAATAAAAAAAAGTGATTTGACACACAAAAAATTATTACAGATCAATGATCACTGTACAGAACAGTATTTGTCTGTAAGAATAAGAAAGAAGCTTTCAGTATAAATAATACATTAAAAATCTATAAATACATAAACAACAACAACAAAGTTTATATGTCCTAGAAATTCTTTTATTTCAAGGATATGCCGGTTTATCCTTTACTGTTTGAGCTGACTGTAAATAACCACATTACAATTAAAGAATTTGGATTACAATTCGAAATTGCGATGAAACTGACCGTGGCAAACAAATCAGTTTGTCATATTATGAATGTATCTCATTTTGTTGTTTACCTACTATGAAATATAAATATAAAATGGCTAACATGACTAGATAAGAAAAAAGATAAGTATTTACAAAAAATTACGTACTATGTCCCTTTATTACTTTATGGGTATCTTGAATGACATCCGAACACCACTTAGAGCTGTCATATTTATCAACAGATTCCAACTGTATCCCATCACCTTCAAACGCTATACCATTCTGAAATACGTAAAAAAAATATTTAAAAATGTATATGTAATGAAATTAAAGATTTTAGTTTCCTAGAAATCTGTTTCTACTTGCTTCTAAGTGCTTTTCGTCACATTCCATAGACTCTTTCAACTTACCTTTTTTATTTTTCATTTTTTTTTAAAAAACGTTACCCCCACATTCACACTTAAGACAGAGAAGAACAAGGAAGTCAAGGCAAACATTTAACAAAACCTAAATTTAAAATTTGGCAAAATTTTTTGCAGTATCAAAGAACACAATATTATGCAATAATTACATAAAAACAAATGAAATTCGAAAAAACTAACATTACAAACTTTTTTAAAGCATTTACTGTTACTGTAACTGTTACTCTTTATGGCCAGTATGCATGATAATTACAACAGGAGAAATTAAACTTTTTTATTTGTGATCCTTTAAATTTGTCCGTGAGTGTATTTAATGACCAGAGAAAATGACAAGCAAAATATTTTTTTATAGGATAGGGTGACAAAAAAGCACACAGTTGACCTGATGGTAAGTGTTTGCTGTGGCCCATAGCCATCTACATTTATCCTCGTTTGTGAATCAAAATGCAGATGCGTTGTCACCCGTAAGGACTAAGATAGAATGCCTCTTTTCCAGTAAAAAGGGTCTCCGGTTCTCTACACTCACCATACGAAACACAGCAGCATGAAGCTGCTATTTGACGCTGGTATTCTGTGAGAGTGTGGTCCTTCCCCGGTCAAGCCGACCCATTCATGCTACAACTATACTACTAATATAGCTGCAGCATGGCTCTACCACGTAAAAAATGAACTTATTATTTTTATTTATATGATTTATATTTAACATGAAAGTTGTTTCACTTACTTGTTTCAAAGCCCCACCAACTAAAAATGACTCCACATTGACTCCATTCTGAATATAGTTATCCTGATTATCTAAATCATAAAATATTAATATAAGTGCCTATATACTAAAGCGTGTTTAATACATTTTATAAAATAAGATAAAGGTGATTTAAGTTATCTCTAGAGCCCTGCATTCCTTCAAAACTTTGTATACATCGTAAACTTATACTTGAACACAAAACTAGGCATAAGAAAAGACAATGAGATGCAGGTAGGGAAATTTGGAATAGGGTAATGGAACCTAAGGCTAACTAACATCATGGATAACAATGAACACCTAAAGATAAACTGTTTCCAGTTCCAGACCAGATCTGGACCTGACGGTTTAACAAAATTTGTTTCACAATCTTCATTATGACAACAAAATAACAACAATTCAATGATGTCTCAGTGATTGGGAGGGTGTAAAATGCACCAATCACAGGATAGTTAGAAATAATTGAACCTGCATGTTATGTTGGAAAGGACAATGTTCAAACTCGCCTAAGAACCAACATATATTTGACAATTACCAAAATTCTTATCCTTAATTATGCTTTAGATAAAATTCATTAGATAGTAACGGACACTTCTGACTTGTGAAATGAAAATAAAAAGGACTTTTTCGATTTTGAACTTTGTACCTAGTTACTAATACTATTGCGCTGCGTTTATGCTCTCCTGTGATTTGGCCAATAGCACAATACCTTCACTCACATATTTCAAAAGTTGTCATAAACTCAAATATATTATGAAAACGTTTGTATTTTAAAATATATCTCAGATTAATATATATCACAAGGGACTGGGGTACAGTGAAATCATCTATTTTCATTTAAAATAACAATACTATTGTCATCTCATTGGCAAATCAGCATTGTGCCACGCAAAAAAAAAGTCAATAACGTTGACAGATGATGACAACAAGTCAAAATAGATAGACGTCAGACGTGCTATTGTTTTGGTTTCGTTTGAAAAAATACATTTCTGTAAATGTTTTAGGATTCTAAGTGCACTCTGTAGTTGGTTTGTTATGCGATAAATTTAAATAAATTACGAACAACGGATATCAATACTCTTCTTTAGCGACCTACCTGGCTTTAATCAGGGACTTTAACCAAATGAGACTGTATATGTTGTATTTATTTGGTATGAATAAAATAAATACCTAATCACAACCTGAGTTTTATTTACCGTATAAATTCTAGGCTAAGACTGAACTGCTTACATTGGCAATAACATATAATAGTAATATTTCATAAACATAAAACATAAAATCAAAATCTCTATGATAACTGCAAATATCTAAGTTTTCAGAAGTGTCCGTCAGGAGTTATTGTTCTTACATACAATTATGTGTAATTTCGGGCTTAAAAAGGTATTTTTTTTTACTGTTGGTTCTTAGGCGAATATTGTATGGACGCAAAACAATGTCCTTTGCATCTAATGTAGTTAATGCGCAAACTCAAAATCTTTCACTGCCTAGAAGATTGCAACATTGGACATAATAACATGATAAGCTTGAGGAAACTGTCCATGTGGTTAGAGCTAAGTAAGTTTTACTAGACGTTTTGCAGAAACCTCAAAATCCTCCAATTTTTATCTCATGACTGTTATATCTGAAGTCTATATCAACAGATATGTGAAATGTTACAATATAGAGACAATTCTACAGACAGATATCCAAATGTATGCAATGAGATGATGAAGCAATTGAGCAAAGCCAAGGATTCTGTCTTTGTCAGATTTTGAAGACCAAAGATTTTAGAACTTTTTGAAGGTAAAACTTGACAGTGTGAGAAATGGGACAAGAGGAAGTCTAATATATTATTATTATGTTGATACGATGAAATATAGTGTCCAAAATAACATGTAACAGTGCAAGTAACATGTAACAGATAAGTTTAGATTTTATAATTTAATTTTTTTTTTTTTATAGGAGAGGGGGCAAACGAGCATGCGGCTCACCTGATGGTAAGTGACTACCGCCGCCCATGAACAACTGCAACACCAGGGGAATCGCAGATGCGTTGCCGGCCTTTTAATAAGGAGTACGCTCTTTTCTTGAAGGTCCCTAAGTCGTATCGGTCCGGAAAATCGCTGATGGTAATCGATTCCACAAGGAGGTCGTGCGAGGAAGAAAACATCTTCTAAATCGCACAGTGGTGGACCGCCAATCATCCAGATGGTGTGGATGGTATCGGGAGTTCTGCCGCGATGTGCGTTCGTGAAATTTGGCGGCTGGGATTAATCCGAACAATTCCTCAGAGCACTCCCCATGGTAGATGCGAAAGAAAATGCAAAGGGATGCAACATCTCTTCGCAGTGCCAATGAATCGAGCCGATCGGAAAGGGCTCGGTCGTCGACAATTCGAGCCGCTCTGCGTTGGATGCGGTCAAGTGGAAGGAGCTGGCACTGGGGAGCCCCTGCCCAGAGATGGGAACAGTATTCCATGTGAGGCCGAACTTGCGCCTTGTAAAGTAGCAGGCGGTGTGCCGGCATGAAATACTGTCCCGCTCTGCTGAGCACGCCAAGCTTTTTAGAGGCCAATTTGGCCTTCCCTTCCAAGTGACCACGAAACTGCACGTCACTCGATATGTCGACTCCGAGGATACCGATACTGGCTGAGGCAAGAAGGGGAGTGCCTTGAAACTGAGGAGATACGACAAAGGGGTTCTTTTTAGCGGTAAACGCGCAAACTTGTGTCTTCTGAGGATTAAATTGGACTAGATTTAGTCGCCCCCAATCCGAGACTTTGTTCAGCAAAGACTCGACTTCAGACACAAGTTTGTTCCGGTACTCAGCGACGTTTTCCCGAGAAATATTGGCACGGCCGGTGTATAGAGCATCACCAGTGCTGTCATCCGCATAGCAATGAATGTTACCAGTTAGCAACATATCATTGATATGCAGAAGAAACAGCGTTGGTGATAGCACACAGCCTTGTGGAACACCAGCGTTAATAGGCTTGTAGTCAGAGCATGCACCGTCTACAACGACCTTGATGCTCCGATCTACAAGGAAGCTGGTGATCCAATTGCACAATTTCTCGAGAAGCCCATAGGAAGGGAGCTTCGAAAGAAGCGCTTTGTGCCAAACCCGATCGAAGGCCATCGCAATGTCCAGACTAACGGCCAACGCCTCCCCCTTGGACCCTACTGCCTCCGCCCATCTATGGGTCAGGTAGACCAGAAGATCACCAGCTGATCGACCCCGACGAAAACCGTATTGGCGGTCACTAATCAGCTGGTGATCCTCAAGGTACCGGATGAGCTGGCAGTTAATAATGGATTCCATTATTTTGGAGAACAAGGAGGTGATCGCGATAGGCCTATAGTTGGATGGGTCTGAGCGGTCGCCTTTTTTAGGGACCGGGTGGACAAAAGCTGTCTTCCATGAATTCGGGACTACGCCTTGGGAGTAGGAGTACCGGAAAAGACGTGTTAGGACCGGTGCCAACTCCGGAGCACACGTCCTCAGCACAATTGGGGGGATTCCGTCAGGCCCACTCGACTTCTGGATGTCCAGGGAGAGCAGTGCTTTGCGAACCGAGCGCTGTGAGAACAGCACATCCGGCATGGAGCACTCACACCGCGGGATGGTCGGCGGTGTTTTCCCCCCGTCATCAAGAGTCGAGTTGGACGCAAAAAGGGAGCCTAAAAGGTCGGCTTTGTCTTTTGCGTCATGGGCCAGTGAGTCATCCTCCCTGTGCAGAGATGGTAGTGATGGCTTACAGAAATTCCCTTGGACAGCCTTGGCGAGAGACCAGAATGCACGGGTTCCCGAAGGAAGGCGAACTAGTTTCTCGCCAATTCTGCCTATGTGCTCTGACTTTGCCTTGGCAATAACTCTTTTGAAGGACCTGGAGGCGAAGTTATACTTCTTTTTAAGTGTGCTGGTATTTACATCCCGAGTCGCCGAAGCCGCAGCCCAGGCTTGATAACACTCCTGCTTACTGCGTAATGCAGTCTTACAGGAGCGACCAAACCAAGGCTGAGATCTGCCTCCGATGGGTACCACAGATGATGGAATAAATAGTTCCATTCCCTGTAGCACCACATCAGTGACAGAGTCAGCAACAGCGCTGGGATCATCCGGCGAGAAGCAAACCCGCCCCCATGGGTAGGATGCAAAGAAGGACCGCATTCCGTCCCAATCCGCCGACCTGTAATGCCAAACACGGCGGCAACCTGCAGAACGCAACCGCGAAGGGAGCGTGAGTGGCACCACACTCCGGATCAGACAATGGTCCGAAGAGCCGAGAGGGGCATCGACGGAAACCAGATATTCGTCCGGATGAGAGGTCAGCAGAAGGTCCAACAGGGAAGGTGTATGATCCTCCACATCTGGAATCCGCATAGGCGAAGTAACCAGTTGTGTCAGACCATATGCCAAGGCAAAGTCATAAACAGATCTCCCCGCATGATCGGTTAGACGTGAACCGAGCCATTCGGTATGGTGGGCGTTAAAATCGCCAAGGATCACGATCTCTGCGGATGGGACCTGTTGTAGCAAGAAATCTTTAGCCATTTGGACGTGGTCGATGAGTCGGTCTGTTTCGGCATTACCGCTATGGGACCTATAGAGGCACCCGTAGACGCGCGGATGGTCGTCGCTGTCTACGCGTAGCCAAAGGATGGACAGGTCCGAACCTTCAAGACTGCCGAGGCGTCGAGAACAGATGTCCTCTCTGACATACACGCAAACTCCAGCCCGAGGCACAAAGGAATGCTCCAATTTGTACCCCGGGTAGGAGAGATACGAAATATCAGCCGGAGAGGAAACCTGCGTCTCGGTCAGAAAGAGCAAGGCCGGCTTCGCCGTCTCGAGATGGTAGTGGACGGCGTTTAGGTTAGAGTGAAGTCCCCTGATGTTGCAGAAATTCACGGATAGCGTGGCAGGGGTCGCCTTGGTGTTCTTGCTCAGTTTGCCCCTAGCAGTAATGCTTTTGAGCGGAATTTTGCCCCCCCCAGAATACGCGGGGCAGCCTGAGCACCCACGCTCAGGATCGAAATAACATGGTCGTGGATGCTCAGCGAGGGATTCTCCAGGGGTGCTGGTACCCTCCTGGGGTAGTTCTTCGTGTAATTCCGCTACCATGTTGATGGGGGGGGGGGGTGGAATTGGGCCTAATTGCATATTAATTGCATATTTAATTGTATAATATAGTTATTTAATAGAACTTTTTAATTCAATATTTAATTACTTATATACACTACAGTATACTTTATGTTTTAAATACTAGACATCGATCTGAAACCAATTTCTCTTCTGGGCCATTCTACATGTTCTTTTGAAAATCATCATGAATCACCCTACACATTTATAAACTTTCTTCCCAAAAAAGCCAGTAATCCTCATTGTTTAAGTTTTAGTATCATAATATAATTGTATAGCAAATTGAAGGATACAACTATGAAGAATACTGCCCTCTTATCAGATTTTGCCACCAAGCAGCAGTGAGCCCATTAGTGCCTCCTTTTGAATAGAGTGAAGAATTTTTACTGCCATAAATATTAACAAAAAATTTGTATAGGCACTTCATTGTTGCTCTAATGCCAATTGTGAATTTAGAAAACATTTATGCATTTTTTTTTTCAAATTAAATTTAAAATTCATTATAGTCCGTACGGATAAGGAATGGGATTAGAAATGGCGGCACATAGAATATGCACTGTACTAATAGCAAAAACCTGCTAATAACGGTATATTGTTATTACATTATATTTGGTTAATTGGAAATTTTCTTTATGGGAAAACATTAGAAGAGAACTGTACGACGCGAGTAGGTACATTAATTTTAAAACAACATTTATAATTAGCGACCTGCTTCGGCTTTGCCTGGGTAGGATATATTAATATGGCGTTATTATACTTAAGATGATAAAAGACCATTTGTTTTATTCTTTCAATATTTTTATGTTAATAAAGTATAGATCACTCTATTTGTTTGTGAAGTTTTATTACAATCGGTTTAGCCATTTCAAGGATTAGCTCGGACAGTCAGACAAATGAAAACTTTAAAAATGGTTAGTCATGTCTCAATAAAATGTAAATATTTTTATATAAAAATATTAACAAACAAAATCAACAATAGTTATGAAGAAAACTCAAAATCCATAGTAGCTAACTAATTAGCAAAACCAGACTGATTTTTAGGGTCCCATACCCAAAGGGTAACCTACGGGACCCTATTACTACACCTCCGCTGTCATCAATCTGTCTGTCTGTCTATCAGCTGGCTGTATTTCATGATCCGTAATAGGTAGACAGTTGAAATTTTCAAACAAAAAGTATTTTTGTTGCCACTATAACAAATAATAAAAATTAAAGGGGGTTCCCGTACTACAAACCCTTCATGCGCGAATTCTACTCACACTTGGCCAGTTTTTTTTTTGTAGTAGACTGAAATTATAGAACATACAAAAAACTAATATTGCAACATATTTATTGCAGTCTTCTCCTTCGAGTGAGCGTGATACATAGCGACAGTGTGCAAAGGAGAGGTGAATAGAGGCGACGCCATTTTCAATCCCATACTTTAACAGCTCGGGTAGTACTTACTATTATGTTGAGGTGTTAAAAGAGCAATTGTAACATCATTTGTATTTTTTCCTTTTCTGTTAATCTTTTTAGTGTGTAACATATTCTCCTCAGAAATAAAAGCATTTGAGATCAGTTTTTGTGGTGACTTATTAACAATCTGATGAAGGTTATCTGTTCTCTGTTTACCAAATATTTGTGCTGACAGTCTATTTTGTATTCCTTGTAAATTAACTGGTTCTTCTACTAAAGCGGTGGTGACTAGAGACTTCTCGTTGACAGATTCATGAGCTTCAGCTGTTACCTGAGGTCGTAATATGGGAATCTTAGATTTTCTACGAAGAATATTTGGCTTTTGAAATTTCTTCTTACTAACATTTTTGTCATGTGATACAAACATATTTTTGCTAATTCATTCTATAACTTATGTTAATAATACAAATCTGAAAAATTTAAAAGGCTATTAAGAAAAATACGTGTCTCTAAAATTAATCAAGTGAGATGCCACTCGACAATATCTACCACGAAGTAACTATCAAATTCTCACTTTAACATGTAAAAATAATACAAACGATTAAAACCACCTGAGCAATAATCGAAAAACATTTAATTTTTAACTATTTTTATACTTTTCTAAAAACGTAAACTTTAAGCTGTCAGCATTTATTATTTTTTTTTTTTTGGAGTTTATGGCCTGGCATCTATCAGCATTTATTATCAGTACTCTGCCTACTCTGTGCCACAGAACCACAAACTATATAGAAACACCACAGAACACTAATACCCTTAGGCGGCATGCTCTGTGCTGTCAGCACAGACTAGACACTTATAATAAGTGTCTAATAAGTGACATACTACTTTATAATTTGCATAGACTTTGTATCTTATAGACTAAACATTCAGTGACGTCATCAGCGTGTGAAAGGAATGCACGTATATAGTTAGACATAAGAATAAGGGAGAAGCAAATCTATATTTCTTGTCTTTTTCTAGGTATGCGTTTTTGATTGTTTTCCCTCCTTTATTTGACATTAACGATGTCAAGCTCTTTTGAATAATATTGATATTATAAGCAAACAGGTAACTGAATTTAGTGTTTTTTGTGGATCTTAGTTATTAGGTAAGGTAAAAAAGATGGTAAGTTGTAGCATTTTAGGATGCAACAGCATCAATCAACGAAAAATTGATAATATTACCTTTCATCGGTAAGTTTGTTTTGTGCTTACATTTGCTACTTGTACTGATAATTATCTATTGTTTTGAATATAAAGTGTAACATTTCATGTTTTTAATGAACTATGTGATGTATTTTGTCAAATATTTGAACTCCCAGATTGTAAATTCTTCATGATAATGCTCCTTAATTTGAACGGTCATTCGAAAGCTTAAAGTCATAACAAACGTGTACTTTTTGATTTGGTAGGATTATAGAAACTTTAGGGATATCAGCGAGTACAATAATGTTTTCGCATTGTTCAATAATAATTGTTATTGTGATTAGTAGTTATGTCCATAAATATAAATCACATAATGTTATACATATACATACACTTTTATGTTCAGCTTTAAAGGAAACTCCTTATTGCCCTACAACTCTTCAATCATTTTCCATATTACATCGACGTCACAAATAATATGTAAGTATCAACCTGAAAACATGTTTGGATTCGAGTACATAAATATTGGGCAAAGTATATTTAATTTCACAAAATATGTATTGCCTGAAATCAGATGCACAAAATTTTATTGCATTCCATTAATTCTATTATACATTAGCAACAATTACATTACAATATTTATTAAAAAAAATGTCATGCTAATCTAAAAATAAATATAAATATAGATAAAATAATAAATAAATAGTCTTATAATATAGTCTTAATCTTAAGGTACACAATAACACAACAACATAAGAAAATATTCTCAATTAATGATGTAGAAAAATTTTTATGATAATATACTTACCGTTACCATTAGTTAGTATCAAAAGTTATAGGTTTTGTGATAGTTGCCTAGCTTGGCAGGAGAATTGGCAACTGCAGTTATTTGGAGACAAACTGTGTGGGAGGTCTATGTTCAGCGGTGGAGGACATTTGTTAGGCTGTAAATGTATTAATTAACAATATCTAAAGCTTAATATGTACATAATTTTTTTAAATGTTTGGTATGAATAATATTATCATTACATTTACATATACTTGCTATTTAATTAAATCAATTGATATTGTTTTAATTGTTATAGGTATTGTATTTATGCACAGATACACATACTTGATTTTTTTTTTGTTAAATACCTTGATATAAAAGTGTACTATATATTTAATATATTAATTTCTTTTAAATATATTATTTCACAGCTTTCCTAAGGAATCAGCTATCCGTAACAGTTGGATAATCGCTACTGGTAGTGCTTATAGGTAACCAACAAAACTTAGCAGTGTATGCTCAAAACATTTTAAGCCTCATTGTTTTAGGTTGACTAAATATGCTTAACTTATGTAATTTATAATATAATTAAGATAATTTTTTTAAATGTTATAATTTCTTGTTGTATCTTGTTGTTTCTCCACAAGTGATATAAGTTTGATCTTGTTGGTAGTTATCATTTTTGACATTGTTCTGTATGTATTAAAAATTGACTAGCATTGCTTGTTTTATTTTCAAATGCTGACATTCTGTATTATTATGACTTGTAATAATTGGGTAGCATGACAATGACAAAATATTTACTTATAGATAGATGTATTGATTAAACAGGAATCCTCATATACAAATGTTGGAACTTTATCTGTACTACCATGTTTTATGCAAATAAAGATTTAAATAAAAGAAATAAATAAGTAATTTAAAGTCCTGACCTAAATATACAAATGAATAATTTATTATGCAATAATAATTGTAAAACTGACTGGGAATGCCTACCAATGGGACATTTAGTCCACCCTTAATCCCTTTTATAAAGGTTTTATAAACTTTAATGTGTAAATAAATTAAGAAATAAATATAATAATTATGATAATTTCTATTTAATTGTCATAAAAATAATGTAATAAAGATATTTTTGACAAGAGATAAGTATTACCTATCTAAGTATAGTTTAGGAGTTGTACCTTATTATTTATACCATTAAAATATATTATATACAAGGCAATAATATATATATATATATATATATATATATATATATATATATTCCCTTCTAATCTGATTCTAACGACCAGCACCCAAGAATTTCTGCCATGCAAAAGTATAAATCAAGTTTACAAATGCATATTTTTGAGAAATTTTAAAGCTACTCAAACCAAGAATTACAACGAATGCTCTAGAAAGAAGACAAAAATTTTGTTAATTTTGTTGTTTATTCATGTGATGAAAAATTAATAAATAATTGTTTGTTTATTTTAATTGTATTGAATTATATTTAATATATAATTGTGTTTTCATTTGTTTTACTTAATGTAACATTGTTAATATTTCTAAATGTTGTGTAAGTACACAAAATTTAGTTCTTTTTCCTTTTTAAATTTCAATATATTTTCATTTAAATAGAATATATATCTTTACAGTCAATCAAAAGTCCACTGTTGAACATAAACATTATTATATTTATTTGGCATAGTTTCAACGCTTGGAAAGCGGGTTGTAAACCATTATTTAGCTGTTATCAGGACAATGCTGCTGTTTATCTTCTTTGATGTTTCCCTATGTCGCCTCACACACCACCCATGAAATGATATGAGGTAGCAGATAATCTGACACTGCATGGTAAATTAAAATAGAATATTATGAAACATTCGTTTTTATTTTATATACCAACATATTACATAAAAAAATCCTTTGTTGATGCTTTACAACTTATATTAACTAAAACATTTTACCACCTTAACCATTAGGTAACATGATTAAGCCACCTAACCATAAGTAAGTCACCTAAAAAAGGCCTTCCATAGATATCCTCATAGGATGACTTGCCATAGTTGCCACGCATGCGTGAAAATATGCGTTATGCTGGTTGGCCACCGCAGGTTTTTATTATTTTAAGTTTTCATCGGGAAAGTGCTGCTGCCCCATCCCCATCTTGTATTATTGCTGACGACGCGGGGTAATATCACCCCGTGTACAGACAAATTCTCTTGTAGGCCACAACTTGCCGCACACAAGACACTAACTTAGCAAAACATGCAGGAAATCGCGGGAGTAGGCCATAACCGTGTTTTGTACTACAAAACCTAAGTGGAAACCCTTTCCTTTCGAAGGTCTGTGTTCAGCACTGACCTTGTGATGGAATGGTATGTTAAAACATTATTGATTTTTTTTTTTGTAAAAACAACAAAACTCGACACAAGAAAATTTTTGTTTATTATTTAATATTTTTATTCTCAATTAATATTTAGGTACATACATAACATATTGTTATTTATTAGTGATATCATACTTTGTGCTATTAGCGCCTTCACTTAGTGCCGTCGAAATCCAAAGAGTTTATTGAATGTCCAGTAAAATCGTCGATGCGCCGTTGAATACAGAATGATGATTCTGTTTTTATGCCGTTTCCGCCCGTAGTTTTTGTCACAGAATGTATTTTCAAGAGAAATGAATTAATCATCTGAATTATAAAAGAACATTTTTTTATGGTAACAATTAAGTTTTTTGTATGAATGTAAGTGCTGTGAATATAAATAAACCCATAACGGGGGAAATGGAACAATCACTGGTAACCCAGTGAAAGTACCTCCCGCCTATTTCTATCTCAAAAGCATACGCGAATGCTTTATCTAATCAATCCTCTATCTACGATAATTTGTGATAAGTGACTTATTATATTCATACTCAATTCATACTCCTTGGACTAGACTACAAGACAAGAGTAATTTTTTTATTAAAATTTTGGCTTGAATGCTTGTCTTTTAAACCATGTCTTAATTTATACATACATACCATAATTATACTTACATATCTTACTGGCATATGGACCGACATAGTATACAAGGGAGAAGAAAATTCCTTATAGCAAAAATGCAAGATAGAAAAGGATACCAAATCTCATGACATTGTAACCGATTTTGAATGTTTTGTAATTTTTTAGTGTAATAGTGGTTATTTTTAGTAAGTAACATAAAATTGTTATTTGTTCTGTGAGTGACTGGGGTGTTAATAATAGAAATAATCCTGATAATTGCATGTTATGACGCGTTTATTTTTGGTTAAAATTGAAGTTATATACTGTTTAAAATATAGAATGATTTCAATTATTTTTTTAATAAATTTTAATTTTTAATAAAATAAAAAAGTCACGTTGTTGATAATTTGCACGAATTTAGTAAATACATTTTTATACAAAATATTTTACATGTCCGCTAGGGATTGACTCAACTATATCAAAATTAATGTCTATATTTA